CCCCAAAACCCCAAAACCCCACTAAGATTGAGTTTTTAAATGACTTGAACGACATAAATCTAATTAATTTCTTTAAATTATTGGTAGTTCAATACCTACGATTTAAATTACCATGGAAGATTACAAAAAGAATTGAACCTTATAATAATCTTAGTCAATATTAACCTAAATCACTCATGGCTTTTTCATAGATGCAATCTTTCTCACAAATTGCAATGACACAGGATTCAAAAGCAATTTATTTATCACATCCTTATAGACATTAGTTTTTGCATCCTTCACAGACTAACGAAAGAGTCCTTTGGGTCCATAATCTTTTTTAAACCCTAGGATCTAGTTAAACATATCTTATCTATCTTAGTAAAGTTGATTGACGATTTTCATCTCTAGTGACTTCTAACCATTGTATCTGAAACCATAAAGCATATGTCTAACTGTTTCTGGAGGTAAGGTTGCTCTTAAAATATCACCATATTGCTCAGGTAAAGGAAAATCAATGTTGAGCTCACTCAAGCAGGTGAAGCCGTAATCTGTTCTCATTATTCTGTGGTCATGCGCTAATGCAAATAAGAGTCCTCCTGCAAATGCATGTCCGTTAACAACTGTCATTGTCGGTACATTACAAGTCATTATCCTAGCTGCTAACTGGTTAAAAAGAATGAATGCCTCATGTTATTGAATAGGATTCTGAACCCATTCATCCAAGTCGAATCCTGTGTGATATATTTTAGGCCCTGTAGCTACCGTAACAAGACAGTCTGGGCCCTTTGTGTCCTCCACTTTATCGATAAGTGAGATAAATTTCTTAAGCCAAGGGACTGTTGCCTTATTATCTTGCTTATTCATCACGATATAGTGTATTTTTTGTTCCTCATCGTAGTGATGATCTAGTTCTTCCAAAGATTTAAACTTTTCAAAAGTGGTATCCATTTTATCTAATTAAACTGAAATCTATTATTTATAGCTGTGATATCTTAAGATATCTTATAATATCTTCCGGGGTTTTGGGGTTTTGGGGTTTTGGGG